AACAAGTGCTTCACGCCCGCAGGGCTTGTATGATATTCCCTGCTTCAATTCCCCTCAAGCTGCAGCCGTTTTTTTCTCCCAACGAGGTTTCACCGACCTGTACAGGCGCAGTATGTACGTCCTGTGCTACAAGGCTATAGCCCCTACTGTGGGAAGCCCGAGGGTAAATCACTAGAGCCGCCTCAAACACACCCAAACTACAGGTGAGCAAGGTAGTTTCCCAAAATAGGAGGACCCCAAATATAAATCCAAAATCATTCTAATCCTTGGTATGGGGACCCCCCTCCCCCAAAAAAAACGGGATCCCCACTGTTGGAAAACCACCACATGTCCGCAGTTTGGGCGGGGGGCATGATTCAGGAAAGCCTGAGGCGCACTGCCCTGACCTATCCCAGCCCTAAGCACCCTAAACCCTAAACCCAAAAGAGTCGACGGGGTTGTAAAAGAAACCCTACGGTTTAGGGCTTGAGGTGGCCTCCATCCTCTTTTCCGGTAGCGACAGAAGTAAGGCTACAAAAGCCTGCGTTACATCATGGCTTCCAGTTTCTTTCTGGTTCATAAAATTCCTTCCCTTAACCCAAGAGTTGGTATGAGCATAGCCCAGAACCCCTAAAGAGTAGCTCAAAAGGCCTTTATTCTACATTCTTTCGGGGTTTCAGTTCATCCTGAACCATAATTTTGGCAACCCAAGCCCCCAAACCCTGAACCTTGGACCCCCTGCCTCCTTTTGTAGTCCACTCCTGCAGCCCCGGCATATTCCCATTATAGGTTTCCATAGCACCATATTCAAACCCCCAAGCAACTACATTCCTTCAGAATTCAAAATGAATTCCTATGGCAAGCTCCAGCCGAAGAAACACACCCTAAGCCCCTAAACCCTTAACCCTCATCCCTAAATCCCTAATCCCTGAAACCCTAAATAGTAGTTTCCAGATTCTTTTCTATTATCCCTATATTACCCCAATATTACCCCAATATAACCCCTATAATGAACCCTCCCTCATCCCTAAACCCTAAACCCTCATCCCTGAACCCTAAACCCTCATCCCAAAGCCCCTAAACCCTTAACCCTCATCCCTAAACCCTAAACTTAGGGCGATTCCTGGAGACCTTGCGCTGCTCAGCCGAGCCAAAGTCGCGGCTGACCAGCTGAGGCTGATGCCCCAGGACTCTGGGGTCTAAGGTCTGGGGTTTATTAAGGGTTTAGGGTTTAGGGTTTAGTGTGTTTAGGGTTTAGGCTTTAGGGTTGGGGTTTATAGGGTTTGGGATTCAGGGCTTAGTGCTTAGGCTGTGAAAGGCGGGGAACCGGCACAGGAGGTCAAGGAGGAAAAGGAGCAATAGTTGTGGTCCCTTTTAGGGTAGACGGCGTATTTGTAGTTGTGATCATAACCCTAAACCCTAAGCCCGAGCACCCAGAGATTCAGATGTTGGAGCATTCTCGCGGCATAGTCTTAATCTCTCAATTACGTGGCTAGAATCCTTCAGGGAGAACTCTGCTTTTCCCCGGAGGCCCCACACACCTCTAGAGACCCTGTACCCCCCTGTGGGCACGCCGATTTTGAGAAGCACCGCTGTCGGCCCAGGTCTTTGCAGAAAATTTACAGCGACTCCTTGAAAGGTGTCTGCTGCCTGGCGAGTATAGTCATAAGCTCTTATATATACATATACATATTATACATATATATGTGTGTATATATATATATACAGTAAATCGATACATGTATCTATATATTCGCCGTTAAAAAGTTGTAGGGTCTAGGGATTAGGGCTAGGCCATGGTTGTATTTGTTGCTCCGATTGCTGCTTCTGCACTACCACATTTATGGCGATTGCGAATTTGCTGCTATCATCGGAGTTGCTGAAAGAGGAACTTAAGTTAGGTTACCATATTGGGGAAACCCTATTATTAACTATGTATACCCAGTATGTTAACTTAATTCAAGTTCCTTAACAGCAACCCAGTCCGTTCCCCCATCTTTGTTGGCGAGTCCAAACAGACTTCTTGTTGGACACATTGCGCCGGCACAGGTCAAATTAGCCAATGCCGTCGCTCAGGAGCTGGAGGCTCCAAGAAGCTTTCAAAGAGTGTCCAGTCTGGGCAGTTCTAGTGATCGAGCTCTATAATATACTATGATAAAAGACCATAGGATGTTATAATATACTATATTACACGAATACTCAACCAGCGCTCTTCCTTTAATTCAAGAGGCGACGGTGTGTGCGGGTGTCATGCCAGACTGCCGGGGTCCTTTGGGGATGTCTTCGAGGGTTTGATGCTGAGCAGAACTCCTACATGAGCCACAGTCTAAAATTCTTAAAAGGGTTGGTTATTTTGGGGACTATATAGGGGAATATTATAGGGTTTATTAAGGGGGATGGATACTAGGAGTTTGGACTCTGGCTCACATGACCGCCCGTAAAACCCGTTACACAGCTAAGTCGCACCGGCGAGGTTACCACAGAACAAGGTATTTCTCATCATGAAGGTCCCCTCATGCATCCCAACAAAATGTGGTCTCGGCTCTAATAGGGCCTCCAGAACGAGGCCCAACGTCTTAAGACCTCATCCCTAAACTCTATGTACTGCACAGAACCTGCCTCTGTGTTCCCCCTATACCCTTGCGATCTGTTTAATCCCGCAAGCCGAGTATACTCTGCAATACCCCCGCTTGAATGCCCTCATGCCACTATGGGCTATTAGACCCTAAAATTCCCTATTAGGACCCTATTAAGGGTAGATTAAGGTACCCTTAAGGTCTAATAGCCCATAGTGGTGTGCCTACAACGCCCTAAACCCTAAACTTATAAACCCTAAACCCTAATCAGAAACCTCAAGCTGTGTCCCTGCCGAAGGACTGGTCCAAAGTGGCAGCACCTGAGCTCGAAAAGACGGAAGCCGAAGGTACGGACCTTCTTATTGGGATAATTAGGGGTTTAGGGTTTAGGGTTTAGGGTTGGGATAATGGAAAAGAAAATGGAAACTACAGGGGTTATATAGGGATTATATAGGCCGTTATATGGGGGTTATATTGGGATAATGGAAAAGAAAATGGAAACTACTATAGTATATTGGGCTTATATTGGGATTCTGGAAAATAAAATGGAGACTACTATATTATTGGGGTCGGCCTTTGAAGCACGCGCTTACCTGGACCCTTTACGGCCTTCCTCATATTACAGGCGATTTGTGGGGCATACCCCCGAAAAAGGTGGACATCGTGGGTCGAGGTAGAGGCTGGGTTCAGTGTCACATTTCTGATTGGACCATCTAGGATGTAGTATGGGAACGTTGTGTTTGTTAAGATGTTCTGGACACAACGGAACTGCCATGCCGATGCGGGCCTACTCGTCCTGCAATTGTTGCGCGTAGTGCCCCAGCCCTACATCTCTAAACGTAAAGCCCCAGCCCTAACTCCTCAACTCTAAACTTGACAGTCACGGCTTAGGATTGAGGATTTAGGGCTACATAACTGAAGTTTCCATTTTCCTTTTCATCTGATTTTCCACAATTACTCCTTACACCTCGACCCTTACGTGGCTGCACATGGAAAATCGTGGGTTTGTAACAGGATTGGGCCCGCGACAAAACATGTGTTTGATGGGTAGCTATAGGAGTCCAATGTCCATTTAATCTTCGATGTTTCCCCATTTGATTCTAGACGAAAGCCTCAGCTCTAGTACACTATCTATGTATATCCCTTTAAAAGAACCTATAAGGGTTACATTTGACTTTCCATTTGATTCTGCATTATCCTGGCTCCTCAAGCCTGCGTCAGGCCAGTCCGAAGCAAAGGGCGATTTGAAGCTGTCAAAGGCTTCCTTGCGTTTTGCGGCCATTGCTCGTGAAAAAGGGGGGAGGTGCAAATGTAAGGGTTGTTCTCAAAATTATGGGCCCCTTGTGGTTACACATTATATTGCGGCACCTAATCTTTATAGGTTTAGGGGTACCAAAATGGGACCCTGATTTTGGGAACTACCCTTTCATAGATCATGGGAGGGTTCTGTAGCGGTTAGCATAGAGACTTTCCCCTACATTTTCTTCAATCACCAGCGCGTCTGCTTAAAACCCTCCATTGCCTGGATTCTTCCGTAGCATACTTGCATTCATTGCAACTACAAAGGCCATTTCTGAGAGTATCCTTCCTGCGGCGCTAAGATGGATTTATCTACCGGACATGTTGCCTGCCATTGGACAGGAATTGTCTAAGAAAGAGAAGAAGAAGCTGAAAAAGGCCAGTCGCGCCAAGCGCACGGTTCTGCGTCTGAGGTTCATACGTTAGCAGAACCCTTGCCCATTCTGGGTGACAACACCTCCCTCCACCCGATTTGGCCAATGATTCCCTTACTTCTCGTGTAGACGCATCCAAGCACCAGTACTATTTCCCTTTTGATCTCTATTCTACCTGGGCGGACAAATCGATTTCTTGAAGAACTGCTCTGTAGGTATTTCCAAGGATCACTGTATGATCGGCAATCTTCGTCGTGTGACTCGTGTGACACATCACCTCCGACAAGCACCTTTTCGACGGCAGCGACATCAACAACAAGTGTAGCAGTTTTCAAGGGATTTGCGGCAAGTGCGCCGGTTTGTGTGCGCATATTGTGAGCAAAAGAAGCAAACACATCAGCTTTCTTGCAACTCTGTTTGGCCAATGCTGTCGGTAGCACAGACTGTCGATATCCCAAAAAGGTACTGTAGTCATGCAGTCAGTTGCATTGTGCAAGTGGTGCATACCATTCCACACGCGCACACGGCCATCACAAGCTCGAGTGATCCGGCCTGCTAAGCCTTTCCGGAACTTTCCGGCGGGGGATTATGCATGCACAACTTTGAGCCGTGTTTCCTTGAACCCCAGGAGAAGAAGCGCGAGAAGAAAGCGAGAAAAGCGGAAAAGAAAGCTGCAAAGGTTCCGGTTGACGCAACATCTAAAGCCTTTCCTATATAGTTGGCCCCTTATTACCGTGTTTGACGCGCTGGCCTGGGCGTTTACGAGAGCGAAATGTGGAGAATTGACGGCTGTCAGACCTTGGCCAAGATCGAGCAGGCTGCGCAGGAGGCCCTCATCTCATGCTTCAGGGTTTTAGGATTTAATTCCGGGATACACCCCAGCATCAGATTCCTCACGAGGGGGAGGAAAGGGGACTCCTCCTTGGCGAAGTCCTATAGCTCCAAGCGTATGCTCCCCCCGCAAACCCGATATATCTCCAGGTGATTCTGCCCTAGGGATCCAAATAGCCCTATATGCACTGTAGGTGATATTTACAGACTTTAGTGCCCAATGTAGGTATTTTTTGTATACTTGGATCCCTAGGGCAGGGTTTGCATGGCCCCAGGATTTTGAGAAAGCTGCGCATGGCAGGCGGAGCACATTGCCAAGCTCGCTGGCGAAGAAGAAGCCGAGGCGGTTTCTTGTTTTGCCTCGGCTTCAGGATTTCGAGGTTGAGGCTTCGGGGGGTTCGGAGTTCACGGTTTATGATTATGGGTTTGAGGTTGAGGGTCAAAGGTTTGCCGTGTTCAGAAATTGAGCGTTTAGGCTTGAGAGTTTGGGTTGCGTAGCGTTCCCGCTTGAGGATCTACTTGTAAGGCTTCTAGGGTTTCGAAGCAAGAGCTGTTGAGGCGTTGGGTTTGACTGCCTGAGTTGAGGGTTTGGTGGTGGTTCACGTAGAGAGGAGAATCTGGAGGAGATTCCCTTGACTCTTCTGACCCCGCAAAATAGAGCTTTCAGGATCACCTCATGTTGAGTCTTCCGGCTACTTTGGTGAATAAGAATCACGCGATCATCAAAGTGCTCAATGAATGCAGGAAGAGGAACAGTGGCCGGGCCTGAATCTAGATAGAAAAGCACGGCTTCAGATAGTGTATTAAAAGGTGAACTCTTTACATGTGGCTTTTGCGTGTTATGTAGTCTGCAAGTGCTTCTATTAGTGACATGGGCTTGCTCAAAGACTGCAATGCTTCATATAGTCCACATACCCAAGTTGATGATGTTCTGCCGGGCCTAGAGCGCCGAAGAAAAAAAGAAGAATCCTGAGAACTTTCAAGAAACTCCCGGTAAGTCCTGTAACCTTCAAGGGTGGGGTTCGTAATACTTGGAGTGTAGGTAAGTGGAGTTGATGGTAAACCTGCCCAAGACGATAAACCCGACCATCCTCCCCATCTTCCAAAAGCAAGCCTGTGTAAATCTGGAGCCATCAAAATTCCTGTCACTTGGCAGCTTGTCAAAATTATCCATATAGAAGTCTTAATAGGCGCACCAGAATCCCTTCTTTTCATATACCTAACGTTTCTCCAGGCCCCAGTACTTTCAGAAATTCACCACTTGCAGGCAGCCAGGAGAATAGCGGAGGTGGAGGAGGAGCTGGCTGCCGCAGAGGTCGGTGGTTGATCAGTCACCGGACTTCTACTGTGTGTGTTTTTGTGCGTGCATGTAGGGATATATAGTGGGTTTAGAGATGAGGGTTCAAGGGCGATCGCGCAAGATGTGGCCAGATTATAAAGTGCAGCCTGCCGCAAGTATTAAATTGTAGATACACGTAGTGTTCCGCACAGTACCTGCCGTGGCCACGACAAGAACGGTCATGGTGGTAATGTTCAAGAGATGTAGTGGCAGCTGCCATTATGATTGTCGGGCTGCAAGAGGTGGCGCTACCCATGACACCCGTAGCAGCGGCAGTAGTTCATAGCATTTACTACCAGCCAAGACTTGCAGCACGAGCTTCAATGTCAAGAGCAACAAGCTGGATTTGAAAACATAACTTGAAAGCTTGGTGTGGGCAGGCTGCTACCCCAAGCATCGAACGATCAAGCTTCGATGCCTGTTTGAGCAGGCTGCTGCAGCTGCAGCGGAAGAGTCCTCGGAGGAAGATCCTGAGATGGCGGGGAGCAGTGCACATGCCCAGTTTAGCTGTTACTGGGCTTGGGAGGGAGTAAACATGAGTACCCTTGAAGCCCCTGGAAGTACCGTCCATTAGAATGCGCATGGCCACACCTTCACGTATAATCCGTCCCTGATGCAGAACAAGCTACCCCGTGCAGGTGGCAAAAGCAGAACGGCTTCGGGAGCAGCTTACCGAAGCTTATGAATACTCTGCGAACGTGGCTTGGTGAGATGTGGAGCGAACACAAAGTTCATTCGGGCGAGAGATGGCATTGTACTTGGTTTGGGGGCGTAGGCGGCAGAATTTAGCATGGAGTATCCAGGTTTGGGGTCTAGGGGTGAAGTCAGCAAAGTATTCAGATGCAACAGGATGTTCGGATAAACGCAAGAGCCCCATGCCTATGCCTGAGGTTGCCTTGAAAGCAGCTGAGAAGGCCGAGGCGGTAGCTTTCCGACAAACCTGGGGGGGAGGGGGGGAGGAAGGGGGGGGGGGGGTAGCATAGACCCACAAAATAATAGATCCTTAGTACAAGTATCCCCTTAAAAGGGACCCCTAGTTTTTTGAAAAGCCCACATGTATAATGCAGGTACCTGCATTTTGTGAGGCTATAACCCGATGAATATATGGAACTTGAGCCCCAAAGTCCATGCAGGGTTTCTGAAAATTGGGGTCCTTTTTTTTGGTGGTCCCTATATTAATAAGGATTCTGAATATTTTGGTCCTTTTTTTTGGTGGTCCCTATATTAATAAAGGATTGTAGTATATTGGCGGTCATATCGGGGCACCCTAATCTTGGGAACAGGCAGCGTGTCAACGCTAGTCACAAGAGGCAATGATGGAGAAGATGATTGGAAAGTGATGTTAAGGTTTAGGGTTTAGGGGGGGCGTGCTTCAATTGATCAAGCCTTACAAGGCCCAATTGGGATGGATAACCTCTAAACCTCGCATAGCCAATACAGGCTGACGCTACTTCCCATGATCTTTGCGCCAATAAAGGGAAACAATCTGGCACTCACGTAGGTCTTCCTTGCCTTTCAATATTCAATACAACTCCATCCATGCAAGCTCCATATGTATTGTGGGCTTACCTGCGTAGTTTATGAACTAATGTGGGGATAGGAGGATGGGCACGTTGGGAATTAAATATACATATATATATATTTTTATATATAGAAACACATACATACACATCGATGTGTACGCGTGTCAGAATTATGTAGCTTTGCATATGAGCTTTGCATATGAGCTTCCACAACCATCTCGCGTCCTCCATTAACTTACCAGGCAACAGTCAGCAAAGCAGCGAAGAAGCGAAAAAGGCCACCGCTGATATGAGAACAGTCTTGTTGAGATTCTGTTGCTAAACAGTGAATAGTGCTAAATGTGAGATGGATGTTGGAATGATCGCTTGGGAGAGGGTTGGAGATTCAGTCCTGACGTATTGCTGACAACAGGTCATCCTCCTCCTCGTCCGAGGTATGGGCCTCATCTTGCCTCCCACAAACGATCATGTTATATAGGGGTTATATAGGGTTACATAGGGGTTATATAGGGTTATATAGGGGTTATATAGGGATTTAGGGTTTCCCAAAA